CCCCCGCCGACGCTAACCCCCCCCCCGCCACCTACCCGGGGTCCCGCTCCGTCCTCTGCGCGGGGGCTGGTGGCCCGGCGACGGGGCCCACGACTGGCGGAGCGCAGACGGCGCGCAGACGGCTCCACCCCTGGCCTCCGCCCGCCCCTTCCGCGTCCCGCAGGGAGCCTGGCAGGAAGGTGAGGTCACGCTTTCCCGCGGGACAGGGAAAGTCCCCGAGACACCCCGCAGCGACGTGCCGCCCCCCCCCCCCCCCCCGCTCGGGCTGCGGCCTTCGGCAAGTTTGGGCACCTCCCGGGCGCGGGCGCCGGGGACCACGAGAGGGACAGAGCCTGGCCCTCGGGGCGCCCACAGTCTGGGGAGAAAGTAACCCCGGTTCAAAAAAACGGAGCATCTCGGCGAGTGGCAACGCTTTCCACTGCCGCAAACGGGGGGCTGGAGTGATATCGGCGGAGGGCTACCCGAAATCGGGCGGAAGGGGGGTCCTGGCCACCCTGGGGCTGGGGTTGGGGATCCCCGGGTGGCTGAGAAAAGAGCAGCCAGACGGCGTTTCTAGAAGCTGCGGTCACGATGTGTAAACATTCATAAGGGGTCCGAACCCTTTCGAGGGGGTCCCGGACCCAGCGCCCACATGTCCATTGGGCAGAGTTCAGATGTGGGACCATCGTACTCTCAGCCACCCCCCCCCCTCCGAAAATGTTTTCATTTCTTTTAAAATCAGAAAAACAGGGAAGCCTGGGTGGCGCAGTCGGTTGAGCGTCCGACTTCACCCAGGTCACGATCTCGCGGTCCGTGAGTTCGAGCCCCGCGTCGGGCTCTGGGCTGACGGCTCGGAGCCTGGAGCCTGTTTCCGATTCTGTGTCTCCCTCTCTCTCTCTGCCCCTCCCCTGTTCATGCTCTGTCTCTCTCTGTCCCAAAAATAAATAAACGTTGAAAAAAAATTAAAAAAAAAATAAATAAAATCAGAAAAACAAAAACAAAAACAATGAATATAGTCCCATCCTGGGTCATAGTCGTCTCTATACCAACAGAGTTGCAAAATATAATTTTTGTTTATTTGTTTTAATGGACGAAGGGCCAATGGAAATGCTAATGCCTCTGACCAGATTTCTTTGCCAGTGTGGAGACGCTCGGAGCCTCTTCTGAAAACACCATCGGTAGGTACATAAAGCAAAGTACAAGAGGTTTACAAGGAGTGTTTTGCAAGTAAAAATATTCACTAAAATATTTTTAAAAAGCAACTTCGTGATCCATTATCACTAAATGGATAAAGGAAATGTGGTTCATCCACACTCGGGAATATTATTCAGCATTAAAAAGGAAGGAAATCTGACACTACAACATAGGTGGACCACGAGGACATTATGCTCAGTGAAACAAGCCAGACACAAAAGGACAAATCTTGTCTGATTCCACTCATAGGAAGTCCCTAGAGGAGTCCAATTTATAGAAACAGGAAGTAGATGGTGGGAGCCAGGCGCGGGGTGGGGGGTGGGGGGTGGGGGGGAGGAGAGTCAGTGTTTCATGGGGACAGAGGTTCAGTTTGGGAAGATGGAAAGTTCTGGAGATGGGGGTGGTTGCACAACGGCGTGAGCGTGCTTAATACCCCTGAGCTGTGCACCTAAGAGTGGCCAGATGGTAAATTTCATGTTGTCTATTTTACCACAATTTAAAAAATTGTGTTTGGGGCGTCTGTGTTTGTGGCTCCGTTGGTTAAGCGCCTGACTTTGGCTCAGGTCACGATCTCACGGTCCGTGAGTTCGAGACCGGCGTCCGGCTCTGTGCTGACAGCTCAGAGCCTGGAGCCTGATTCAGACTCTGTGTCTCCTTCTCTCTCTGCCCCTCCCCCGTTTGTGCACGCGCGCTCGCGCTGTCTCTCTCTGTCTCAAAAGTAAATAAACATTAAAAAATAAATTAAAAAAATAAAAAAATTGTGTTTGGGGTGTGGGGGTTCAGTCAGTTGAACCTCCTACTCTTGATTTCCGCTCAGTTCGTGATGCCAGCGTCATGGGATTGAGTCCCGAGTTGGGCTCCACGCTGAGCATGCAGACTGCTTAAGATTCTGCCTGTCTGTCTGTCTCTCCCTCTACTCCTCTCCCCTGCTCGCACGCTCTCTCGCTCTCTCAAAAAAAAAAAAAAAAATTGTGTTGAATACTTGTAAGATAATCACTTTAAAACACTTTTGAAATAGAGCGCCACCGAAACACGCTTAGGGCTATACCTTTCTACTTACCCCCACATTAACTGACAAGATCCAATAACCCCAGTGACTTTACAGTGGTGATGAGCGCCGTATTTAGAGTTGTCTGCGGCAATGCAATCTGATATGAAAATCTCTGTGGTTTTCTATTGGGGACAAAGTCGTAGCTCCTGCCGTTGCCTTCATTCATAATTGAGGAAATGGTGAATATCGGTTAAAGTCAGTGGAAATAAAGTTGTGAATTTTTTTTTCCGTGACTTCATGAAGTCCATCATGAGGTTCTGAAGAGGTCCGTGGACCCCAGGCCGAAGTGCGTGTAAACAGTCATGGGAGGGGAATCAAATGGAAGTTATACGGATGCTATTTCCTCCCCACCTAGGGTGCCTTGCTTAGCGTGAGTCTCTGGCGGGGGAGGGATTTTATTGAGCACCTACTGTGGGCCAGGCATGTCTAGGCTCTGGGAATCCATTGGGGACGAAGGAAGAAGTCCCTACCTTTGGAGCTTCTGCAGCTAGAGGTGGAGAGGCCATTAAACCCATATTCCATGCCTCTTGAGTCCCCCCCCCCCCATCACTCTTACCAATTTTTGGAGTTTCATTAGGTACCTGTCCCCACACCGAACACCTCTCGATGGTCATCTGATCCTTGCCTTAAAATAATCCTCCCAGATGGACTTGAATGTGCCCATTTTACAGGTGAGAGAACTGAGGCTCAGAGAGGGTAACCTGCTCAGAGCATCCAGGCTTCCAGGGGAAACCCTGAGCTGCAGATGCGTAAATCTGACCACCTGCAGACCGGTACAGTTGCCCACCTCCCCTTTTCAATAAAAGAGGTGAGGTGCCCTGTGCCTATCCAATTTCTCTCCCTCTTGCTCCGGTGGGGGCGGGGCCCTCCACGGGGTGCCCATTCAGTTTTTCACTTTTGCACACACAGACACGTATCCATGAATGTGACATTTAATGCTCTTTGGTTTCCTTTTTAATTCCCACCGGCCAGAAGTGAGCAAACTTTGTTTTCCTGCTAAAGGGCCAGATACTAAACATTGTCAGTGTTACAGTCCAGGCCAGACCGTCCAACAGTTTTCTGAGCCAGTGTAGGTAGCCCCACCTTGTTCCTTTTTTTTTTTTTTAATGTTTTTATTTATTTTTGAAGGGGAGAGAGAGAGAGAGACAGAGCATGAGCGGGGGAGGAGCAGAGAGAGAGGGAGACACAGAATCGGAAGCAGGCTCCAGGCTCCGAGCTGTCAGCACAGAGCCCGATGCAGGGCTCGAACCCACAAACTTTGAGATCATGCCCTGAGCCGAAGCCGGACGCTCAACCGACCGAGCCACCCAGGCGCCCCAACCTTGTTCTTTTCAAGTGTGTTATGGCCTCACTAAGCGTGACTGTAGTACAACTTACTGAGTCCCCAGGCATTGGACACGCAGTTCGTTTCCACTATTCCCAAAAAAAGGCATCGCAACCTTCTGTGGTGGTGGTTGTAAACCCTAGGCCGGGGCTGCCTTCGCAATGGGTTCAAATCCTTACTCTTACACTTCGTAGCTGTGGGATGGAGCCCAGGATGAACTCTCTGAAACGTGCCTCAGTTTCCCCCCCTTGTAACCTGGAGATGCTTCGGGGACTTAGTGGACAGCGTTTCTCTAGGGCAGCTGTGCAGAAGGGGAACTTCTGAGACTTCTCCTCAGACGTGGAGAATATACATTTTCACTCTTACTAAATCCTGCACGACTCTTCTCCAAATTAGGGCTCCTGGTTCACACTCCCACCGGAAAGGGAAAGGGCTCATTTCCCCCCACCACCACTGCATGTTACTTTCTCTTTCTTAATTTGTGTTGGAGGATAATTCACAGGCCCTAAAGCATGTGAATCTTAAACGGACAGCTCAGAGGACTTTTGCATGGGTACCCATTTCCTGCAGCCCACACCCAGATCAAGGCGTGTGTCTACACGTCGCTTCCAACCCCTGGAATGCCCCCAAGCGCCGCGGGCAATCCTCCTCCGATCGCTGTCGCCGTAGTTGAGTTTGTGTTCCGAAACGGCACCGAAACGGACTCCGAGTATGGATCCTTTCGTGTCTGGTTTCTTTTGCTCAACACGGTGACTGTGAGCTTCACTTATGTTAACGCACTCCACCTTAAAAATAAAACAGCCAGTTATTTTACCAGCAAAATGAGCTTATTCAGAATGGCGGAGGAATTGCAATTTGGGATGGGCAAGACAGGGCAAACCACAGCCCAGGCCGGAGAACGAAGGGGAGGACTGTTGCTTTCTAGATAAAAAGGAGGAAGCCGGGAGGAGCTGCTTTGAAGCAAAGTCCCCCGCAGGAGAGGTAGCGCTCAGGCAGAGGATGGTTTCTCATTGGCTGATTATGGTGGCTTCTCATTGGCTGAGTTATGGTGATTTCTCATTGGCTGACTTGTGGTGGTGGTTTCTTATTGGCTGAGCTACAGTGGTTTTTCATTGGCTGGGCTGTTGCTGGTCAGGAGAAAAATCTTCCTCCCAAAGTTTATGTGTGAGAACTGAGCTCCCCCTTTCGGGGCTTCCTGACTCCATTCTAAATGAGGTTTCTCTTTATTTATTTTTTTTTTCTTTTTCTTTTTTTTTTTTTAATTTTTTAATGTTTTATTTATTTAAAAAAAATTTTTTTTCAACGTTTATTTATTTTTGGGACAGAGAGAGACAGAGCATGAACAGGGGAGGGGCAGAGAGAGAGGGAGACACAGAATCGGAAACAGGCTCCAGGCTCTGAGCTGTCAGCACAGAGCGGAACCAGTGAGATCGTGACCTGAGCTGAAGTCAGACACCCAACCCACTGAGCCACCCGGGCTCCTCAATTAACATTTTTAAAAAAGAGAATAAAGCAGCCATGAACGTTTGGTGGCCTTTGTGTGGACATGTGGTCACACTGAGCTTGGGTATAAACTCAGGAACAGGAGTGATAGAACACAGGGGAGATGCCCCAGATTTCTTTTTATTTATTTATTTTTTAACGTTTTATTTTATTTTTGAGACACAGAGAGACAGGGCATGAACAGGGGAGGGGCAGAGAGAGGGAGACACAGAATCTGAAACGGGCTCCAGGCTCTGAGCTGTCAGCACAAAGCCCGATGTGGGGCTTGAACTCACGGACCGTGAGATCATGACCCGAGCCAAAGTCGAGAGTCGGGTGCTCAACCAACAGAGCCACCCGGGCACCCCACAAATGACTTTAATCTTTTTTTTTTTTTTTTTTTTTTTAGAGAGAGCATAAGGGGGAGGGGGAAGACGACGGAGACGGAGAGCGAGAGGGAGAGAATCTTTAGCAGGCTGCAGGCTCAGCACGGAGCCCGATGTCGGTTGATCCCATGACCCTGCATTCGTGACCTGAGCCAAAACAAAAAATTGGACACTCAGCCGACTGAGCCACCCAGGCTTTCTTAAGGGTTTGTAAACCTTTGTCCATAGGCCAGAGCCCCCAGGAGAAGGTGACATTGTCCTGCCTTTGCATACAGGGTCGTTTTAGTTCTCTAGTGGGGCTGGAGACCCTAAATCCCTCTCCTCACGCCTGTGTCTTGCTTGAGGACAGACGTTGGACCCATCGCTCCAGCACCGATCATTCGCTTCCCCGCCCCCCAAACCTGCCATCATCACCCTCTGCTGGAGATGTGCCGACACCCTCAGGCCTAGTCTCGTAAGCGGGACTCAGTGATGTGTAAAGTTACCGCAGCAAAACACATCGCAGCTCTTAAGTACTGGGAGAAACGCTTCTAAGCAGTAAGACGTTAACAGGAAGGTCTCAAGCTTGCGCCTGGCAAGCTTCCCCTGCAAAGGGTCAGAGAGTGAATATTTTAGGCTTTGCGGGCCACAGAGGGCCTCTGTTGCTTATTTTTGTTCGCTTTAAAAATGTAAACTATGCTGGGGTGCCTGGCTGGCTCAGGGGGTAAGGCACTGGGGTGCTCTTGGGGTCACGGGTTGGAGCCCCATGTTGGGGGTAGAGCTTGCTTAGGTAATTAAAGAAAAATGTAAACTGTCCTTAGCTCACGGGCCAGGCCGGGCCAGCACACAAGCAAACACCCGGCTCTTTGGATGGTGAGGGCTTGTGCTTTTACTATAATCACTTTGTACGGGGACTGCGTGTAGGAAGTATTCATCATTAAGTTTGAGAGGCAGGGTTTCTGTTGTATCTAATTTTTTTTTTAATTTTTTTTTTTTTTAACATTTATTCATGTTTGAGAGTGAGAGAGAGCATGAGCGGGGGAAAGGCAGAGAGAGCGAGGGAGACACAGAATCCGAAACAGGCTCCAGGCTCTCAGTGGTCAGCACAGAGCCCGATGCGGGGCTCGAACTTACGAATCAAGAGATCATGACCTGAGCCAAAGTCGGACGCTCAACCGACTGAGCCACCCAGGCGCCCCCGTTGTGTCTAATTTTGAATTTGTGCTTGCATGTTCTTTTTCTTGTATTGCCCCCAAACGTGTTCAACCTTCTTGAAAAATTGAGACACAATTGACATAGAGCACGGTATCCGTGTTAGGGGTAGAACACAGTGATTTGGTACGTGTGTGTATTGCAAAACGAGCACGAGAAGTTAATGTCGGCCAGAGCTACGATTTCTTTCTCGTGATGAGAAGCGTTCAGGTCCACTCTAAAAGAAGTGACAGGTTTTAGTGGCGCCTGGGTGGCTCGGTCTCCTAAGCGTCCCACACCGCAGCGCGTGGCCTGGCGGTGGTGGGGGAGGTGAAGGATCCCCCCGCCCTGCTCTTCTCCTGTCCCAGGGGCTGGACGAGAGCTCTGAGCCCCACTCCGGATCTGGCCCTGTCCTGTTCCCATCCTCGCGAGCAGAGCAGAGAAGCGGGCGGAGGCGGCCACCCGCGGACCCCGCATCGCTCAGCTCCTGGGAACGCATGCGCGTGCGCACACAGCCTGTACTCAGCTGCAGGTGAGATTTATTAAGGCAACGGTGACACTCCAGGCACCGGCGAGCGGCCGGGCAGGCCCCAGGGCCCCACCCCCCGCTCCGGAACGGGTCTCAGCGGTTCTGCCTCCACCCCACACCCCAGAAGGGCCACTTCGCAAGCCAGAAGTCCAAGTCCGTTAGCTGAAGGCGGATATCCAGGGGCCTTGATGTAGCACAGGTGGGATGTAAGAAACCTAGCCTTTGTTTCTAAGAAGAAAAAATTTGGAGGGGGCCTGGGGGCCTCCTAGAAAAAAATCTGTTTCTGGAGACCTCCCCCTAAAGACTGATGAAGGCAGGCAGTGCTTCCTCCGAGGCGGCAGAGGGCGCTCCCCGAGGTGGTAGCGGAGATGGGCCGGGAGGAAGGCAAGAAACACGTTCCAAGCGGGGCGAGGGGGCGGAGGGTCCAGCGCTCATGCTGACCCCTCAGGGAAAGACTAGGTCCCTCGAGCCCCCTTCTGACCGTCCTATTTCTTCTCCTCTGGGGCCTTCTCAGCGACTCCTGGGGCAAAGGGTCCCACCAGCCACATGATGGGCGTGTTCTGGGCCACGTACTCAACCATGTGGTCAAGGGCCTCTCGGGCCTTGGCCACCTGCTCTCGGCTCTGCGTCAGGATAGTGCTGGACAGGTCCTGGAAGGAATGGACGCCAGAAAAGGTGGCCTGGAGGCCCTCCACCTGGTGGCGAGCCTGCTGAACCTGGTCCTTCACGTGGGAGGGCAGCCCCTGGATGCTGGACCCCAGCGAGGCACAGGTGTTCTGCAGCTGCTGGGCAATGTCGCGGAACATGGTAAGCGTCTGGGACTCCACCTGCTGGGAAGGGGCGGACAGTCAGGACCATGTTTTGGGATCCAAAGCCCGGGGAGAGAAAGTGGGGGTTCTCCTGCCCACCTTCCAGAAAACCTGCCCTTGGCGAGCCCGTCCAGCACGGTGGTTTGGGATCCCAGCTCTATTTGAGTTTTGAGCCAAGTGACATAGACCCCAAAGTGAAAAAGAGGCACAGTCACTTGGGAAGACAGTCCGGTGGTCCCTCAAAACGTTAAGAGTTTCCATAGGACTAGCGATCCGTTCCATTTCTAGGTATCTACCCAAGAGAAATGGAGACACGTGACCATACACGGGCTGGGGCTGGTCACAGGACGTGATCCACAGGAGGCAAAAGTGGAGACAACCCAGAAGCCCATCAACTTGTAAACGGGTAAACAAAACCCACACAGGGGAACGTCCCTGGGCCTCGAGCAGGAGCGAGGCGCCCACCCCTGCTGCCCCGCAGTCGGACCCTGAACACACGACCCTCAGGGAGGGAACCAGACACGGGAGGCCCCACAGAATGTGAAACGGCCAGAACAGACTCATCCAGACAGGAAGGGGGTTCGTGAGTGCTGGGGACAAAGAGCGTCTGCTAAAACGGGGACAAGATCTCCTTTGGGGTTGGTGGGAACGTTCTAAACGCACTGTGGCGATGTTCACACAGCCCTGTGAACACGCGAAAAACCACTGGATCATCCGCATGGGTGAACTGTACAGCACGTGAATTATATCTCAATAAAGCTTTTTTTTTTTTTTTTATATCTCAAGACGTTTTTCAGGTTTTTTTTTAAGAGGACGTCTGGAAGAACTTTCCAGGCAGGAGCTGTGTGGTGGGGGAGACGGAAGTGTAAATGCGTGCATCGGGACCTTAACACCCCACCCCCACCACAGGGGGGGGAAGAGCAGGCTGGGAGGCGGGACTTTGCCCTCAACCCGCCATCAGAGCGCTCGCTCGGGACTTGACCCTGACAGGGAGGTGCCGACCAGAGTCAACACCCACATCTCGAGGTTGCCACGGTCAGCGGTGGGGGAGAAGGGAGAGGGAGGCGGATGTAGTTGGGTCTGAATGCTAACAATTTTGCACCTGCAGAGACAGCAGGTGATATCTTCACAAATGCCATTTTTGAAGGGTTTACTATGTGCTTTATGTAGCAACTCAATTTCTTTTAGAGACGTATGTAACTCACGGACCAGAAAATTCACCCTTTTAAGTATATAGTTTCGTGGTTGTTAGTACATTCACAAGGTTGTGCAACCACTGCCTCGAACTCCAGAACATTCCATCACCCACCAAAGAAGGCTCCTCCCCATGAAGCAGTCCGTCCTGACCCCCTCCCCAAGCCTCTGACAGCCTCGAACCCCTTCCCGTCTGTGGATGAGCCTGTTCGGGGCGTTTCACACACGTGGACTCACACCCCGTGGGGCCTCTTGTGTCTGGTTCCCTCCCTGAGCGTCGGGTGTTCAGGGCCCGTCTGTGGGGCGGCCGGTGGGGGCGCCTCACTCCTGCTCGCAGCTGAGTGACGCCCCCCCATTCGTAGTGGACACGATGGCGCTGGGACACAGGGGAAGGGAAACACGGCAGGGTTTAGAGTTCAGCAGGTTGACAGGCGTCATAAGTGTCCTGCAGTTCAAAGCAACACCCACACCTAAAGGAGGAAATCAAGGTGGGCTTCCTGGAAGAGGTGCCGTCACGTCCTAAAGGTGGTTAATGGCTGGAGAGGCTGTGGAAAGCCTTCCAAGCAGGTAGGTCCATCCAACAGAGGCGCAGAGAAGGAAGGAAGTCAGGGCCCTAAGGATCCCACAGGCACCCCACGTTGGTACCTCTGGTTTGGCCGCATTCTCCTCGGTGCCCCGGAGCTCCTTCTGGTTCCAGCTGAGCCACATCTGGTGCAGTTTCTCCCGACTGTCCACCAGCTTCTGATCGACTCCGTGCTTGACGGTTTCCATCTGGAGCAGGGGAGGGGAGAGCGAGAGAGAGAGTGAGAGGCTGCCTCCAGCCCCTGGCCAATGCCCGCGGAGCCCCACACGCGTCCCAGGAGAGGCAGGAGTCCAGAGAGAGGCCCACAGAGTCGTCCTTTTATCCGGGAGGAGGTGGTCTGTGAAGGGGAGGAAAGCGGGACACTGTGCTCACGTACGCTCTCCCCGCTGTGGTCTCATCACCGACAGGGGCACATATGTGCCGCTTGCAAAGGGAGGGACCACACATTCCCTGCACCTCCTCCCATTTCGTCTGCTGCTCCTTGTGACTGGGCCCGGCCCCGAGACTGGCTTTGGCCAACGGAATGTAGCAGAGCCTTGAAAACCGTTCCAATGGAATGTTATTCAGCCTTAAAAAGTCAGGACGTCCTGCCGCCTGCCACCGCGTGGACGGACCCGGAGGACGCCGTGCGCGGTGACAGGAGCCGGACACAGAAGGACACGTCCCGCGTGACCCCAGGCACAGGGGGTCCCCAGAGGAGTCCCGTCCACAGGGACAAAGTAGATGGTGGGAGCCAGGGGTGGGGAGTCCGTGCTTCATGGGGACAGAGTCTCGGTCTAGGGAGATGGAAAGTTCTGGAGACGGATGGCGGAGGCGGGTGCACGACAGTGTGAGCGTGCCTGATGCCGCTGAGCTGTGCGCTTGGAAATGGTTAAAAGTGGCCAATCTTACCCCAATCAAAAATTGAAGAAAAAGAGGAGGGGCGCCTGGGTGGCTCAGTCACTTAAGCATCTGACTTCGCCTCAGGTCATCTCGCGGTTTGTGAGTTCAAGCCCCGCATCAGGCCCTGTGCTGACAGCTCAGAGCCTGGAGCCAGCTTGGGATTCTGTGTCTCTGTCCCTCCCCTGCTCATGCTCTGTCTCTCTCTCTCTCTCTCTCTCCCTTTCTCTCTCAAAAGTAAATAAACGCTAAAAGAAAAAAATTTTTTTTTAATAAAAGAAAAAGGCGGGGGGGGGGGGCGCCCGGGGGGCTGAGTCAGTTAAGCGTCCGACTCTTGATTTCAGCTCAGTTCGTGGCTCTGAGCTGACAGTGCAGAACCTGCTTGGGATTCTCTCTCTGCCCCTCCCCTCCTCTCTCCCTACAGAAAAAGAAAAAGAAAAAAAAAAAAAAAGAGGGAGGAGCTAGCACTCAGTACAGGAAGCTCAGCAAAGAGAGCGAGCGAGAAAGAGAGAGAGAAATAGGAATTTAGCTCCTTAGAGAACAGATAGAAAAAAGCCTGGCAGGAAGGGGCAGGATGTGACCGCAAAGTGGCGGGGGCGGGGGCTGGGGGGGGGGGATGTGGGCGGAGCCCCCAGGGCAGGGGCGGGGCCTCACCAGGCTGAGTGCCTGTGCCAGCTGGAGCAGGGCCTCCTGGGCCCGCTGCCGGGTCAGCTGCAGTTTGCCCAGAGAGTGAGCGTAGGCCCGCTGGCGCAGCCGCTCCGAGAGGGAGCCCAGACGCACGAAGTAGCTCTGCTCCTGCCGCTGCTGCTGCACCGACGCGATGTCGAAGCCCTCCAGGGACGTGGCGAGGCGGGCTGCAGGGAGGAAGGAAGGAGAGGCGCCGTGAGGGCCCGGACCCGGCCGCGTGTACCGCTCAGGCTTCGGCGTGCGGCCCTCGGGCCTGAACGCACCTGCCCAAGTTGTGCCCCTCGCAAGCTGTGGAGCCTTGGAGCGAAGGGGTCCCCCGCCTTGCTTTTCCCCATCTGCAAAACGGGCATGATGAGAACCGCGGTTCCCAAGATCGAGAGGCCTTGGAAGGGCACGAGGGTCTGAACACCCCGGCCCTCGGGCCAAATACCATTTGTCCCTAGGAACAAAGTTTTATTGGCACACGGTCACGCCCGTTCATTTACCTATCTTCTGTGCTAACAGACGTAAGTAGTTGCAACAGAGACTGACCCACGAAGCCAAAAATATTTACCAATCTGGTTAAGAAAATGTTTACCACCCCCTGCTCTAAAGTGATTGTGCCACGCAGCCTCAGTTTCCCCTTCTGTAGGGCCACCTGAGTCAGAGCTGCCTGAATTGTGGAATCTGAGCTACTTGCGTCAAAAAAGGCGCACAAGTGAGCATTTCGAGATTTTTGCTAGTGGTTTATAGCAGATGATTTGGCTTTCTGTTTTCAGTAAGTGATAACATCAGTCTTTCTAAAAGAATCTTGAAAAGCTGATTTAAAGAAGGGTGTTAAATAAATAGCACAGGGAGTACAAACACACGGCCAGGGTAACACAACGGATGACCTCTGGTGGGGCAGGAAGAGCCTGATTAAGTGAGGTCCCCATTTTAGCCACGTATTTTTGCCGCTGCTTCGGGCCAGGCACTGCTCCATCAACAAGAGACAGAAAGTAAAGGAAGGAAATCCCACAGGCTGGTGTTGACCCACAGCTCAATCAAGGTTAGCCTTCGATCGGGGGATTTCAGCGGTTTCTACAAACGCTAAACATTCCAGAAGAACACACTCTAACCCAGGGGTGGATCAACTTTTTGGCACGGGGCCAGACGGCCAATATTTTTGTTTTCACAAGCAGTTACACTGGCCCTACTCAGCTCTCCAGCTGTCCTGCAGACGGGCTCAGATAACACGGACGCAGATGGGCGTGGCTGTGTGCCAATAAAACTTTATTTACAAATGCAGGTGGTGGGCCAGGTGTGGAGTTGGGGGTAGTCTGACAGAGTCGGCTGGGGAGAATGTCATTTCATGACATTTCAAAAATGAACAACAGGGGTGCCTGGGGGAGGGGGGGAGCGGGCTCAGTCGATTAAGCGGCCGACTCTTGATTTTGGCCCAGGTCATGATCTCACGGTTTGTGAGTTCAAGCCCCAAGCCGGGCTCTGCACTGACAGAGTGGGGTCTGCTTGGGATTCTCTCCCCCTCTCCCTCTGCGCACCGCCCCCCCCACCCCCGACCTTAAAATAAACAAACATTAAAGAAAAACAGAACAGCAAGCATACACGTGGGACACTCGGGCAGAGAAAACGACCTGCGTTTCGAGAAAAACAGACCTTCCCATCCCCCCACCCAAGGCGGGTTGCAAAGACTAACCCGCACTAGCAACATTCTCAACCTGCCCTACTGCAGTCCAGAACTTCTCCGTGGCCCCCAGGGGCCCTGGGGTGCTGCCCTTGGAAGCGAATGTGGCTCTGCTGTTTTAGGCCAGGATGTCTGGCAGGATCGCAGCACGTCTGAGCCAGCTGGCAGGGCCCTGTGGAGCTGGCAGGTGCCCTTGGCAGAGGGAAGGAGGAGAGGGAGGAAAGGGGGCTGTTTTCATGGTCTGAGTCCCCGAGCACATGCCTGGTTCCGCCACGCGGCTACAAAACTCCTACCTTCACCCACAGGCCACCCCAGTACCACGAGCACCCGTGTGCACAGTGACCTCATCCTTAGTGGGTGGACAGAAAGTACAAAAAAGCATGGCTGGTCAGACGGATCCGTTCTCCGCAGTGGCCTCCGGGCCTGGTTCAAGACCTTCCTCCCGGCAGACACTGCTGCTCCCACGGCTGACTCTACCTGACTTCCGGCACCTACTATCGGCTGGCAGGTCCCTTCCTTCAAGAGGTTCAGGGTCACAGGGGCGCCTGGGTGGCTCAGTCGGTTAAGCGTCCGACTTTGACTCATGTCACGATCTCACAGTTTGTGAGTTCAGGCCTCGCGTCGGGTTCTGTGCTGACAGCTGAGAGTCTGGAGCCTGCTTCGGGTTCTATGTCTCCCTCTCCCTGCCCCTCCCTTGCTCTCTCTTTTTCAAAAAGTAAACATGGGAAAAAAAAAGTTTCAAGGTCAGGTTTTGGACACTCAAAGGACACAGGACATCTGCATTCAAACCACATGCTTCAGGGCTTAAGATCACCAGCCCGCCTGAATCATCGAGTTTCTCCAGAAAGCCAACGACTACTACTTTGCACTGAGGATTCCCAGGGAGGATCACGGAGACGCAGAGCCAACTCGAGGAGGGTCTCCAACTGGCCAAAAGCAATGGGGCAAGTGAAATGTTGATAAAGCAAATGCGTAGCATTAGAATATGTCACGTAAGTCTGCGCGTTCGAACCAGCTAGCCCCGTGCTCTGTGTTTCCTCCGCGAGCTGTACCTGGGGTGATTAACACTGCAGCAGAGAACTTTCCCCAGGGAAGTTTCCCAGCTAACAGAGAAAGAAGAGATACTTAGAATAGTGATGTTTTGCAATTCCAATCGTCAACAGAGGTGCTCACCCACCAGGGAACCACATGAGTCCCTTTGCATGAATGTTGCAGAACAGGTGAAGGAGGGCGTCTCACCTGGGAGGTGAGTCTGCCCCCACAGGGGACGCTGGGTAGTGTCTGAGGACATCTGTCTGGCCAAAGTCGGATGGAGCACGGTGTCTAACCTACACGCAGCCCCATGGGCCCTCGTGGCCGTGGGCACCAGAGTCCGCGTCGCGGTGTGGCAAAAGTCCTTCACGAATGTGCAAAGGATGAAAAACCAAAACACAAATGTCCAAAGGATGGCTGTCCCCAGAATGTGGGGACAGGACCACAAGAGGACTGTGGACCACGGATAAGACCGGCTGCTTTGTCTCAACAGTTTCATCCCCCGCTTGTCTGTCTTCATTCCTGCTCCCGCCTGGCCTAGCCCCCATCACGCCCCCAGGGACCAGCAGGGTACCCTCCGTCCTGCCCTGGATCCGCTGGGCTCCTGCCTTCACCGGCACCGCCCGCCCGTCCGTCCTCCCCGCAGCGGCCACCAGGGGGCGCCCGCGAGCACCTAATCAAGTTCTGCTTCCTCTGCCCACAGCCCGCCAGGACTCCCACCTCCCCAGGGGAAAAGCCCAAGTCCTCCCCACGCCCCCAAAGGCCCTGCAGACCTGCCCTGGCCCCTCCCCCGGCCCTCCCCTCCTCCCCCTCTCTCCCTCGCCCACTCTGCCTGTTTCTCTAACACACCAGGCAGGTCCTGCCCCAGGACCTTTGTTTTCTACACCTCTCTGCCCTGACAGCCACGCAGCTCCCTCCCTCCCTCCCTCCCTTCACCGTCCCAGAAACATCTACCCCACCCTCCCCCTGGAATTCTCTCCTTTGACCTGACTTCCTTATACTTTATACAGTGAGTTCCTTGAGGGCAGAATTCTGTGCACTGATGTATCCCCCCAGGACTTGAAAGACAGTCAGGAGGCAGGTGCTCAAGGAACATCTGAATGGACAGATAAATGCCTGGGGCGGGGGGGGGGGGGTGGGGGGGGCGACGGACGGAGGAGAGTGATTTTAGGCTTGGGGTTGAATGCCTACTGAGCACCAGGCCCCGTCCTAGACCAGGGGCACAGCAGTAAGACCAAGACGGAAGCGTCTGCTTCGTGGAAGTGATGAGAAGTGCCAGGCAGAAAACCCAGAGCCCAGTGAGGAGGGGGTGGGGGGCAGGTTTTAGGACACAGTATGGACGAGGGAGGCTGCAACTGTAGAGGCTTCACTGGGAAGGTGGCGTTGAAGCACAGAGCTGCAGGCAGAAAGGAACTACCCTTCCCGATGTCTAGGGGGAGGACGTTTCCAGTAGAGGGGATAGCTGGTGCAAGGGCCCTGGGGTGGAAGCATGGCCGGAGTAGAATGAATGAGGGGAGGGGGGGACCCCTGAAAGGCTGTGGGCAGAGGTCAGCACCTGACTGCGGTGCTCACAGGGGCCCTCTGGTGGTTGCTTCAAAGAGAACAGACATCGGGCGCCAGGGTGGAGGCCACTGCCCTGGTCCAGGTGGCCGCAGGTTCAAGGAGACACGGCAGGGTTGATATGGCACTGAAGGGACACACCCTAGGTGGCCGCAAGGACGGGGGAGGTCTGGGGAGGGGTCCGGGCCCCAGGGCCGCACTCACCGAGCTCAGCGTCCGTCATGGGCAGGTGGTTGTCCATCCATTCCTCAGACTTGCCCAGCATCGTGTCCACCCCGCTCAGCACCACCTGGCCCACCCGGGAGCCCATGACCGACTGGACGCCACTGGCCACCACAGACTTGGTGGCATCCACACCAGTCCGCACAGCGCCCCGGGTCACGTCGACCGCCTCCGTCACTCGGGTGGCCACTGTGTCCTTGGCGCTGGACACGGTGTTGGACATGGCTTCTCGGGCCCCCGAGACCTTGGACGAGACCAGCTCCTTGGTGTCTGCCAGCACCTAGAACACAGGCCGGCATCAGCACCCCCGTCCTCCCTTCATACCTGGGTCCCCCCACCCCTGCACCCCAACCTCCGGGGAGGTCAAAGGGAGGACTGCTCCCTCCTGGGCGAACACACAGGGGTCAACGCTGAGTCTGGTAGGGAAGATCCTGAGCTCCGGAGCCTGGGTTGAATCCTGGTTTGATAGGTCCTAGCTGTGTGGCCTCAGGTAACTCACTCCACCTCTCTGTTTCTTCATCCACAGTGTTACGGGCCGCAGTGTGAACCCTAATCCCGAAGACCTCAGGATGGGACTATTTAAAGAGGTAATTAAGGGGGCGCCTGGGTGGCTCAGTGAAGTGTCCGACTTTAGCTCAGGTCACGATCTCACGGTTCGTGGGTTTGAGCCTTGCGTTAGGCTCTGCACTGACAGCTCAGAGCTTGGAGCCTGCTTTGGCTTGTGTCTGTGTCTCTCTCTCTCTCTCTCTCTCTGCCCCTCCCCCAGGCTTGTATATCCCAGGAGGAGAAGCGGGTCCAGCACGCGGTGGGCATTTGTGGATCAACGAGTGTTGATCTTCTGGAATCTAAGCAGATCTGTGTGCACAGAACTCTCGGGAAAGTTAACAACCAACCACTCCCACTCTTTCAAGTTGGCATCCTGCCAGACACCTAGACCTCTCGTGTCCATGGGAATTAGTTGTTCTTGTTTTTGAGACAGAGTGCCAGTGGGGGAGGGGCAGAGAGAGAGGGAGACACAGAATCCCAAGCAGGGTCCGGGCTCTGAGCTGTCAGCACAGAGCCCAACATGGGGCTTGAACTCACGAACCGTGAGATCATGATCTGAGCTGAAGTTGAACTCTTAACCGACTGAGCCACCTAGGTCCCCAGAATTGGCTTCTTTTGGGTGGAGAAAGGTGCCCACGGGGGCGGTCACGTAGCTCATGCCGGCCCAAGTTCAAACCCCAGCTGTGACACCACCACATCCCATAGAAACGGGGAACGCTGCCATTTCCTGGTGTGTGTGTGTATTAGGGGGTGACCTCATAGGGCCTGGAGTAGGGACAGCGCTGTGCCTCTAAGTCAAGAGCTGGGAGGGGCTCTGTTGGATGGCCTCGGAGAATGTCACCCTGAGCTCATCCCTTCTATAAACGGAAGGAATGTTGGCCTCAGGTGGCACCAGCAGGACAGAAGGACACGAGTGCCCAGCCCTTAGAAGGTGGCTCATGCCAATATTTTTCCATTCTTCTGTGAACTGGGCAATTTCCACCTTCAGTGCCCGGCCTGTTAATGGTCCCACACGGCAAAAGCGGAGACTAAGCATCCACTAGGTGCCAGGCTATACGATGGGCACCAGACAGAGCAAGAAGCAGTCTGTGCCCTTACCCCACTCGGGGAGACGGAGCGGCAGCTAAAAAGCGTTCAGATGGCGGCAAACTTACAAGCCAGCACAACTTGGACACGTGACTCACAATCGCCAAAAGGTGGAAGCAAGCCACTGACAGGTGAAAAAATAAACGTGGTGCACCTGCACACTGGAATCTCGTCCGGCCTTAAAAAGACGTCCTACCACCTGCCACCATGTGGATGGACCCGGAAGCCACCGTGCGCAGGGACAGAAGCCAGACACAGAAGGACACACCCTGCGTGACCCCACGCACAGGGGGTCCCCAGAGGAGTCCCGTCCACTGAGTCAGAGAGTGGATGGTGGGAGCCAGGGGTGGGGAGTCCGTGCTTCATGGGGACAGCGTCTCGGTTTGGGGAGATGGAAAGTTCGGGAGACGGATGGCGGCGGGGGGCAAGGGGAGCTGCAGGACAGTGTGAGCGCGCTTGATGCCCCGGAGCTGTGCACTTAGAAACGGTTAAAAACAATACATTTCATGTCGTAAAAAAACTAAACTACGCAAGTGCGCACAGCAGTGTTATTATAGCCAAGAAGCGGGAACAACCTACGTGTCCGTGGCGGAGGCAGGAATAAGCACACGTCCACCGCGCACGCGCACATCCACGGAGGAACGTGTCCACCGCGCATGCGCACGTCCCTCAGGTGCCTCCACCGCGCACGCGCACGTCCCTCGGCCGCGAGCAGGAGCGAGGCGCCCACCCCCGCCGCCCCCGCGGGCGGACCCGAACCCACGCCGCTCAGAGAGGGACCCAGACACGAGAGGCCACACAGGTGTGTGAGTCCCCGTGTGTGAAACGTCCAGAACGGGCTCATCCACGGACGGGAAGGGGGCTCGTGGGGGCCGGGGCGTTTGGCAGGAAGGAGAGTATCGGCTAAGGGACGCGAGGTGTCTGGGTGATGGAATGTTCTAAACTGGGTGGCGACGGCTCCACGGTGTGAATACGCCCGAACCACGGAACCGTGGGCTCGTAAAGGAGCTCGTTGTGCGGGTTGTGACTCAGAGCTCAGGAAAGCGGCGCCGGTGTGCCAGAACGATGCTGGCTGCTGGCCACCTGCAGCCATTTCCATTTAAAATTAGTCACTGAGTTTCTCAGCCACGCCGGCCAACCTTCCAAGGGCTCGGCAGCCACATACAGCTGGTAGTTTCCACACGGGACGCGGCGCAGGGAACGAACATGTACATCAGGGACGGTTCTGGACAGCGCTGAGCTAGAAGGACCTTCTTTAAGAGAGAAGGGAAGGCCTCTGAAGGGGTGGGATGAGAACGGAGGCCTGAGAGTCGGTCGGGCTCATGAAGAAGGGAGTGCACGTGCAAAGGTCCCGGGGTGGGACGGAGACGGAGGTGTTCACAGTATTTGCTTCCCCCCATCCCCGGCTCTCCCCTGAATGAAAGTTCCACGAGGGCAAGCACTCTGTTCCCATCACCGTGTCCGGTGCCCACGGGTACTGATGTTACTGAACCCTGAGTACGGAGGCTGGCGTGAGGCAAGGGAGGTGGCAATGAGCTCAGGGGCGGGGGGACGGCGTGGGCCTTAAGGACGGCCTCGGTTTTTGCCCCAGGCAGGGTGAGAGGCACAGCGCGGGGGGGGGGGGGGGGGGGGGGAGAGCGGGTGGGGGGGGGGGTGGGGAGTGGAACCCAGGGGGGGGGGGGGGCCCACCCCACGGGGGGTGGGGGGGGCGGGGGG